AATCCTGAAATAGGCTAAATTATTTAAGCAAAAGTAGTTTGACTTTTGCATACTCACTATACAGTATTTGGGGAAGTACCTTGATTATTTATCATATTATATATAACCTAGCTCTATCTATTATTAAATGTCTTCAAAAAACACAGTGTAGCATCTAATACTATGTTTTATTTCTAAGTATAAGGTAAAACTATGGTATCACAGATGTTCTGTGATAACTGTTGGCAAATGACTTTTTAAAGGAGATCATTCTAATTTCTAAAAAGCATTCTCACTGTAGTATAATTTAAGATATCATCCTCCAGGTATCCAAGAATTGATAAGTTATTTTAGTAGGTCCATGCATCATCCTGATTACTACTTACATGCACATATGGCTTTCTGTAAGCAGCTCACAATTAATCCTGTGACCTGCCATTCAGCAGAAGGACTCTGTTGAATGAGAGGGAAAGAAGTACATGCCATAAAAATAGATATATAAATCTCACATCTGGTCCAAATTATTGCAAATTCTGATTCAAAATAATCATATAGACTATCTTTGAGTCCTTAACCCAGGTCAATATGAAATCCAAGCCATTGTAGTTTACAACTCCAGAACTCTTAGTTGAGAGACTTCTAGAATCTATCCGAGGCTAGACAACAATCTATGGTCATCTACACTTGCAAGTCTTATCTTATCTTCTTCTCATATTTTGAGAGAGCTTGTTGGTGTGGTGACTTAATGGCTGTAATGTTTGTTTTGATTCTTCTCTATCCTTTTATTCATTTTGTTTGAAGAGATGCATAGAGAGATATCTTTGTGCAGGCCTGGATTCTTGATTCCTTACATTGGTTTTGTCTGGGTTTACTTGTCCTTTAAAGCTGGTGGCAGAATCTTCCAGGACCAACATTAGTTGTTCTGAAGGGGTGGGGGTCCTGTGGGACAGAAGGCACAGTTATTTCATAAATTCCAAGGCCAGAAGGGACCACTGTGGGCATCTAGTGTGCCCTCTGGTATAACACAGGCCGTAGAACTTCTCCAGAATATTTCTTAGAGCAGATCTTTTAGAAAAACATACAATCTTGATTTAAAAATTCCCAGTGATGGAAAATCCACCACAACCCTGGGTAAGTTGTTCTAGTGGTTAATTACCCTCACTGTTAAAAATGTATGTCTTATTTCCAGGAAGAATTTATCTAGCTTCAACTTCCAGCCATTAGATCATGTTATACCTTTCTCTGCTAGATTAAATACTTGTTCACCATGTAGATACTGATAGATTGTGATTAAGTAACTCCGTAACCTTCTCTTTGTTAAAATAAATAGATTATGCTTCTTGTGTCTATGGCTGTATGGCATGTTTTCTAATCCTTTAATCATTCTTGTGGCTGTTCTCTGAACCCCCTCCAATTTATCAACATCGTTCCTGAATAGTGGACACCAGAACTAGTCAGAAGTGTCAGCTGGAGATTCCCCTGTTTATACATTCCAACACACCAGAATATTATGATATCCTAACATACCAGAATATTTCAACAAGCACCAATCCCTTAGATCATTGTTTTTTACACTGTAGTCTTGTCTGCTCGGAGCTCTTTGTTAAAATGTCCCACCACTGTACTAGTGCTGGTGCCGCTCCCCTGGGTGGAAACAATAGCTGTTGGCATTTTTACTAAGAGGGGGGTTAGATAGAATAGTGGCTAATAATGTTGGTGGGCAATCTGCAATGGTGAAAGATTGTAATGACAATTTCATTGTAAACTCAGCCTGTGAGACTCTTCCCTAAGTAAATTTAAGACTTTTCTAGTGTATGGTCAAGTCCAGGGGAAACAGGAGAGAGAGGGGGCACTTGAAAACGGTAAAACCAAGCCCAGCCCTGAATGCTCAATACCAAGTATAGATGGTGGCTTCTTGCTTGCTAAGTGGAAATGGGACAGCAAGAGAGAACATGCTCCTCCATCCAAAAACTATCATATATAGTACCTTCCAATGCAGCAGCATTTTCATTATTTCCCAGTAAGATTCCTTTCCTTTGTTTCCACTCCTCATTTATAAGTTGCTTTATTAGGGGAAGCCAAAGTGGTACATGGGAATTTTGCTTTAGAACAACATTCCTATGTAGAACTCAGGATCAACTAGAAACACGGGTGCACATGGGTCCACACCTCATCATGCAGCCCTCAGCATCAACGACTACAGCTCTTTTGATTTCATGCCCAGAATAAGGGAATCTTTCTAGAAACCCACTGATACCCACTGAAGGAACTGAACAGATATTCAATGCTCATTTCCCTTTCTGGTTTTCTGTCTCATGTACGCTCTCTTTTTGCAATTGTTATAGGGGTCTCTCCTCTGTTTTTGGTACCAAACAAGCCCGATCAGGGTTGGATCTGGAGTTTAATAAACTTTGAGGGAGAAGCAGTGGAATCAGTGTGGCAGTTTGTGATTTAGGAAAGAAATCCAGGTCACTAAGGGCTTGTCACTTAAAATGCTACAGCAGCACAGCTCCAGCACTGCAGCTGCACCGTTTCAGTGTAGACACTTCCTATGCCTATGGCAAAGGTTCTCCTGTTGGCCTAAGTAATCCACCTCTCCAAAAGCCAGTGCCTAGGTTGACAGGAGAATTCTTCCATCAACCTAGTGCTGTCTACACAGGGACTTAGGTTAGCTTAACTGCGTTGCTCAGGGGTATGGATTATTCACACCCGTGAGCAACATAGCTGTGTTGACCTAATTTTCTAGTGCTGTTGGCTTAACTAAGTTGCTCAGGGATGTGAATTATTCACACCCCTGAGCAGTGTAGCTGGGTTAATCCAATTTTCTAGTGTAGAACAGCCCTGTTGGAATTTCCCTCTCCCCACACTGTTCAGGGATTGCTGGGAGATGCTGTTCTATGGCATTCAATCTATAGCTTGGTCCAGGGGCAGGGCATGTTGCAAAAAGGGTTTATCTAAACTCTGCCTTCTCTTCAGATGTGGGAGAAACTTTGAGAGAGCTGGAGGGGCTAAGAAGTCTCTCCCAGAAGAAGGGGCAAGTGATTCATTATTCTGTTGATTTCTTCATTATTTTTATGCATTTTAGGCTATGTCTACACTAGCACTGTTGTCTGTATAACTTATGTAGCACAGGGATGTGAAAAAACACACCCCTGAGCAACATATGTTACACTGACAGAAGTGCTGGTGTGAACACCACCATGTCGGCTGGAGACGCTCTCCCACTGACCTAGCTACCACCACTCATTGGGAGTGGTTTAATTATGTCTACAGGAGAGCTCTCTCCCGTCGGCAATGGCATAGAGTGCCTACCTTGGTACAGCTGTGCCACTGTAAGCTCTCTAGTATAGCTATGGCCTTCATTTCATTTGACTTGGAGTCAGACCCCTCTAGAGAGGGGCTCTGATAACTTCCAGAAGGCTGGGGGAGGAAGATACTTGAAAGGGAAACGTTTTTTTGTTTGTTTTCTTGGAAATAACTTCGTCAGTGTGGATCTTTGTTTGGTTTGGCCTGCCACACCTATATAAACTTTTCTGTTGACCTTAGTTACTGTTTACTTTTCCTATTACTTATTTCACAGTTTCTGGATGATTTAGTTGAGGATTGGTCCTGCTTTGAGCAGGGGGTTGGACTAGTGACCTCCTGAGGTCCCTTCCAACCCTGATATTCTATGATTCTATGATTCTGCATTTAAGACCTTGTCAATAACTTAATATTAGAAGTGGCAAATGCTTGTTTTCACAGATATGGGAGTCTGAATCATTTTCTATGGAATAGGGCATCCAGAATGGTACTTCAAAGCTGCTGTGTTAATCTGGATCATGGTACATAAAACCCCATAGGAGAACTGAACATCAGAATTGGGACCCTAAACTAATACTAGATTCCAAACACTCCCACTGGTGAACACGTGTTGGAAAATCCTTTCAGCACTAGTTTCAGTTCTACCAATATTCTGTACATAAGGTCCAAAGTTCTAGAAAGAGAAAAAAATCACCCACACAAAGCAAACATTGGTTTGTGAATCTTCAGTGGTAGCTTTAGTGTAAAAATTCCCTTTTCTGAAATGTCAGATGTAAACCTGAAACCCTGGAGGCACTTCTAAACTTCAGGATTCCTTTGCTATGAAGATTTAGTCAATTGCACAATTATGTACCAGGATGAGCACCAGTGAAGCAAATGCAGTGAGATACTGCGTAATTTTCCAAACATACAAATCATTAGGAAGCTTTACATTAAATTTTTGGTAGAAAGGGAAACCTCTGTTTGTGTCATGAAAATAGTGAATATGAATAGTAATACAGAGCACATGCACAATACTTTTCACCCATAGAACTCACAGCACTTTACAAAGATGGGTCAGCATTATTATGCTCTGTTTACAGATAGGGAAACAGAAACACAAAGAGGCTAAGTGACTTTCCCAACATCAGTTTCCTTCTGACCCAAATTGAACGAGTTATTTCATCAGTAATCTCAAAATATAAATACAAGTTTTTAGGGAAAAATGTTAAAATTAATGACACTACATGCTTTATAAACATCAAAAAATTAAGCCTCACAATCTATTTGGGAGATCGGTAAGTATTAGCATTGTCTTGTTCATGAATAGGTAAATTGGGGTTCAGATCGCACAGGAGGTCCATGGGAGAGCCAGGGATAGTCCCCGAGTCTCCTTACCTCCAGTTCTGTGCTTTAGTCACAAGACTATTTCCCTGATATTAGGGGTAATTAAAGGTATAGTTTTAGTTTGTGTAAGACTGAAAGGTGGCAGGGAGGGAGTGGACATTTCTAGTTCATGTAAAGCAGCAAACTCTTAAAATTATTGCTGGATTTAGGGAGCTGGTGTACTTAAATGTATCCCTTTTCTAAAGTATTTCATTCAATTAATGTGCAAACTGTCATGTTACATTGTTTAGACGTTAAAACATGCTTATCAAAACTCATTCCCTTCCCTTTAGCTCATTAGCTGTTCTAGAATTATGAAAATAACAAGCTTTGCTCTGTATGTTTCCTTCTAGTGACAGTTCTGGCTATTTTCCACGAGCTGCATGTGGATACAGATCTGTATACCCTCCTTTTTGGAGAGAGTGTCCTAAATGATGCTGTGGCTATAGTTCTCACATAGTAAGTACAAATATCTGTATTCCTTAAACAATGAAATAACTCTGAATTGTCTTGGTAAATAGCTCTCTCCATACAAATATCAATGTAGAGTTTAAAGATTGCATTAAAGGGGTACACTTCTGGAAATGTAATTGGTGCATTAAGTACTCAATTTGCAATGTTAATGGGAGTTGTGTGTCTGAACTGCAATTTTTGGTTGTGAATACTCAGCCCAGAAAACAATAAATGTTTTAAATGTGTATATTAAATCTGATTAATGTTCTACTCTAAACAATGTGTCTGAATGGAGTTGTGCTACTGGATCCTGTAAACATGGGAGGTTTGCCAGATTGGAGGCAGAAGTTCAGGACCAGAAGCTATCTATTGTTTTCCAAGGCAAAACCACAAAGCAGTGCAGTGCAGTACTGCTTATCCCCCTGTGTCTATTAAATCCAGCAGGTTTTCAGCCAGTAAATGTAAGATAATATTTCATAGCACCTTTCATTCCCAAGGATCCTAAAGCAATTCACAAATGATTGGCTCCATTTACCCTGGGTTTATGCTGCCATATAAACACAAACCCTAACTACGTGATTAGAAGGTTCCCAAGTTGGCTTCAACTGCCATGTCTGGCACAGCCTATCATTCTTTGGACCATTGCTAAAAAAGTAAAACAACCGCCCCCCTGCACATTCAGAATGTGTTCTTCCAAGTTTCAATCAAACCTGATTTTCATAAGCATGCCAAAAGATACTTCTCCTCAATGAAGACTATTTCCCTGCTAAATGTCTTCTTTGGACACTACAGCTGTTCAAAGACAGATTTCAGGATTTTTTTTAAATTGCGAAACATTTTTTTCCCCTCTCTTTATAGTCAATAACAATTTAACTTTTTTGCTGATATGTCCAGAAATATTTAACAGGCAGATACCAAGTCTGGAAAATTTACAATCATATAGATAAAAGATTTGAAACATATAAGCAACTGAAAATAGGGGGAAGGGGGTAGTACAGAAATATTCCAGCAACCTTAGATATAACTCTCACTACATGCTCTAGCTATATTAAAATATGAAAATAACTAACAAGTGAGTGAACAAGGCCTTGGTTCAGAAAAGCAATCCTATTCTGCAATTAAGCATGTATTTAACTTCTGTTGACTTCAATATAAGTTATGTACATGCTTAAAGTTAAGCATGGATGAAACTAAGCACATGTTTAAGTCTTTCTTGAGTCTGAGCTATAATGCAGCCACCTCTGGGATGGAATACAGCAACTGTCTGATAACGCACAGCAATACTACTCAGAAGTGCTTTAAGGACAAGGCATGTAGAAGAATTTCATACCCTGTTGAAGTTATAAAGTGAATTTTGGTAGACAATATGTAACGAACCAAACTGGGGATTTTTCTCCTTTGTTGTGACGGCTTGTTTTCACAGACAGTACATAATTCTTGCAAGATATTTAAGATCAGAGTTAACACTCCTATTTAATTGTTCATTGTCTAAATACCAGTCCTCTTACATTCCCCTACACTTAAGCCCTGCTATTGTTTTTAGAGCAAGAACAACATTTCCATCTACTGTCAAGAGTGTGAGCACAGAATCTGACGATTATATGTAGCACAGATGTCACATTCAGTAAATGCAGTCAGAACGTGTACCTTAACGGAGTATCTGTTGTATCAGAAAACAAAATGGACAAAGGGAAATTTAAATCAGAGACTAAAAAAACGGAAAGATTTGTCACAAAATAAAAGCACACAGTTAAAATAGGAATCTACTGTACTAACCAAACATATAAGAAATACACAGATGGGTTTCTTTCTCTGATTCTATTGTATTTGAGCTGAGCTAGTGCGGGATATCCTAGCGAATAGTTATGTAACACTTACCTAGAAGCAACTCAAACAAACAAACAAAAAAGCCAGAATCTGTAAAGTATCATTCGTTTTCAGCAGTTGGATTGCCAAATAACATAGACTTCTTCAAAGGTCAAACTCTGAGGAACCACTGAAGTACAATGTAAATCTCAAAAGCCCAGCAATATTGTATAGTTCACAAGTCAGGAGTTTCTAACATCTCCTCTTTTCCCTGTACACAAATACAGGTCATAGGGTTTAGTCCATCAATCTGCAAGTGGAGACTGAAGATAGATAGGACTATGCTTGCTCTAAATACTGGTTTTTCTTCAGAGCTTTCTCATCTGCTTTTCTCTGTTTCTGACAGATTGTAACCCTAGTCTCTGCAGTAGGATCTGTTTACACTAGCAAGCTAATATATTTTTCTGTATATTTTCAGTAGTGAAATTTGTGTCAGACAGTAAGGGAAATGGCTACACTCCTATAGATGAGGTTGAAAAGAATCTGGGTGATGTTTAATTTCTAGCCTAAATAATGAGTTGTTGTACCAATTGTGTAAACCTCAACCCTACCATGATCTTCTTTCCTGCAGGCTTTTAAGTAAAGATGAACTGCTGATAAAGTCAACTTCAATGACTTAGCACCCCGGTAAATCAAACAACTTCCTTCTAGTTGCATGCAGAAGTATTGTGTTCTAGTGCAGCAACTTTCATCCCATGGCACAGACGCCATTTTATTTTTATTTTTACTTTTTTAAAAAGTGTTACTCAAAGTTTTTTTTTCAGTGTGGTGCAGTGGCAATGAGTGTATAACTAGACTGGCGGGGGAATATTTCAAAATGTGAAGCTCTATAAACAGAAGTAGTAATAATACAGTAGTAATAATACAGTGCAATGCTCGTTCATATATTATTTAATGAGTAAAGAGAAGAGAGAATGAAAGAGGGGCTGCAAAATGTGTTTCGTCGGACAGCTGAAGAAACCCTAGGCAAATGGCTGCAAGGCTGACTCATTTTAAATTCTAAGGGGGATCTTACATTTATGCATACTGCCTCTTAAAGGTGAGTAAAGTGATTAAAAATGATGTGCCCGACCCTTTGTGGGTTCAGTGTGGGTTGGGAGGAGAGAGAGAAGGTTCAGTGTTCCTCCAGCTCCACTTCACCCACTCATGGACAAACAAACATGACATGGCTGCTTGTCCTTCCTGAATGGAAGGGACAGCCTACTGCACACTAATAGGGGTCATGTTGTGACAGGTTTGCTCCCCCTATATTTCTCCTCTTTTATACATCAGTCAGTGAGAGGAGGATAGTACTTAGGTGAGCTCACACAACACCTTTTATATACATTTAGAAAGTGACGCTACTCAGTGTGCTACCACAAGAGGGATTCCACCTGCCTTTAAATAACACAGGCCCGATGCCTCCAGATACCATCCGCATGAGCGCTTCAACTCCCCCACCATCACTAGCAGCTTTCCAGTGTAGGGTTGCCAGGTGTCCACTTTTTGACCAGAATACCTGATCAAAAAGGAACCCTGGTGGCTTCAGTCAGCACTGCTGACCAGGCCATTAAAAGTCCAGTTGGTGGCCAGCATGCCTCTCCAACTCCTATGCAGAGGGGTGGCCATGGGGGCTCTGTGCGCTCTGTGCAGGAACCACGGCCAATGGGAGCTGCGGGGGTGGTGCCTGTGGGCAGGAGCAGGGTACAGAGCCTCCTGGCTGCCCCTCCATGTAGGAGCCGGAGGGACATGTCACCAGTTCCTGGGAGCCGCCTGAGGTCAGCGTTGCCCAGAGCCCACAGCACAAACCCCCTCCCACACCCAAACTCCCTCCCGGAGACCGCACTCTCTTTTGCACCCAACCCCCCTGCCCCAGCCCGGAGCCCTCTCCTGCACCCCAAACTCTTCATCCCTGGCCCCACCCACTCCACCAGAGCCCTCCCCCTCTCCTCCACCTGGATCCCCCTTTCACACCCTGAATCCTGCATTTCTGGCCCACTCTGGAGCCCACACCCACAGCCTGTAGACCCTCCCGCATCCCTGCCCCAGCCCGGAGCCTCCTCCTACACTCTGAACCCCTTGGCCCCAGCTTGGAGGCCCCTTCAGCACCCCAAACCTCTCATCCATGGCCCCACCCCAGAGCCCACACCCCAGCTGGAGCTCTCACCCCGTCCCTCACCCCAACTCCCTGCCCCAGCCCGATGAAAATGAGCGAGTGTGGGGGAGAGCAAGTGAGGGAGGAAGAGGGGATGGAGTGAGCAGGGGTGAGGCCTCAGAGAAGGGGTGGGGCAGGGGTGGGGCCTCGAGGAAGAGGTGGGACAGGGGTGCTTGGTTTTCTGCAATTAGAACATTGGCAACCCTATGCCAGTGGCCCTTAGAACCATATTTTAGTCTGTATAGTTTTATAGTTTCCTTGGTAATGAATGCTATAGAACAGGTTTTCTTCAGGCTTCCATTATACTCCCTTATCTACAAGCAGATCAGCATAAGGGGATCTTAGCAGGCCATAGTTGTAGTAGTAGCTGCAGAATGGCTGGACAGATGTTATGTTAGTGGGGGAAGATCAGCAGCACAAGGCCAGGAGGATTTCACCCTCAATAAGTACTTTATACAGATGCCCAGTATAGTGGGCATTCAGTCCTGGAAGGGTGACAGCAGCCCTGGAGAGGGCTGCATCAGGGTAAGAGAGATTAAGAACGGCTGGGGAAGCTGAGTGGGTAGCTGACCACAGCTGTAGCTGGTTTAATGAGGGCCCAGCTGGCCCTTAGAAGAGGGCAGTGGGCCAGGAGCATAGAGTCTCTCTCTAGCAGTAGAGAGGGAAGGGCCTGGCTGTCTGGAAGCTGAGAGGAGACCAAGACTGGAGCAGGGCTGGGGGAAGGCCAGAGGCGCTGGGGAGCTCCAGCCTAGAAACCCCCCAGGCTGCAGGCCTTGTTAAAGGCCAGAAAAAGGTACTGTGGGGCAGGGCTGGGGGAAGGTCCGAGGAGCTGGGGATCTCTGGCCTAACCCCCTCCCCACCCCCCCAGGCTGCAGGCCTTGTTAAAGGCCAAAGAAGAGAACTGGGGTTGCAGAGGGCAGCCCAAGGGCAGGCAGAGGCAGCAGGTCGAAACCCCCCCTTGCCTATGATGAATGGCATGTACACTGCAGTCTGCCCCAGGGAGCAG